GGGGGGTTCGAACCGGTAGTGACCCCCCCCCTTTTCATGATGAACTGGGGGGGGGAGGGGTTCGAACCCGTAGTGACCCCCTCCGGTATTCCGGAGGGGGGGGGGGGGGGAGGGAGGGGTTCGAACTGGTAGTGACCCCCCCCCGGTTTTCCGCCAGCAGCGGTAGAACACGCTCTTTCTAATATCTGAACAAGCACATCTAACAACGTGCGAGTGGCTTCCCACAACACGCGGGGCGAGCACGCAACCAACACGCGCAAATCATCGCCAAAGGCGACTTCGACAATGTCTTCCTCTTGGTGGCACTCAGCGGCGCCATCCGCCCAGAATGCGCCCTCACGGCGTTTCAGACGTAAGGTCACGATGCCGCCTTGCAATCGCGATCTCAGAGCAATGATAACAAGAGCGTAAGCGCTGTTGTGGATGACTCCACCAAGTTTGCAACCCTGCATCCCTCCCGTCTTAGTGTAAACGAAAGTATCGCACCCGGGGTATTGGAACCATGACTTCGAGTGCAGCCCGCAAACAGGCGCCGACACTTTGGGGTCAACCCCCATTTGCTCGAACGCGGTGCCGCGTGATTCAATGTACTCACAGATCCACCCCGCGACCGCCGGAGAACAACCACAGCTGACAAGGTAGTCAATTTTGGACGCAGTGTCGCTCCCAACATCACACGGCCACCCGAAAACAAGCTCACGCAAGACTTTATCAAACGCTTTCGTGAGATCCACGAACAACACGAACACACGCACAAAGAAGCAAGTGCTGCGAAATTGAGGCAACTCAACAAGAAATGGTGTGCAAAGTCGGTGCTGCGGCCTGGCACGGCGCCGTTCGGTGCTGATTCGGTCTGGGCCCAGGGCCTTGTTATCACTCAGCGCTTTAATCGACTCATGCACGCACGTGGGGGTCAGAACGAAAAGGGACTGTCCGCGCTCCAGGGCGCGACACTAGCTCACTCTGGCTGTGCACCAGGCTGCCGCCGACAACTTCCATGAAGTGATGTTGCCAGCGATTGCACCTCTCCTCCTTTGTCGTGGAGACGCTCCCGTCATGCAGCTTCACGGCCTGAGGGGGCGGATTGTGTGACCTGCAAGGGCCTTGACGACTCCGTACGTGCCTCTCAAATCACCCCTGTCAGCAATTCGCTCAGCCTTGAAAGCCAGGTTTTCGAAGTGAAGGGCCCTGTCACGGTCAATGATGCCACGAACCGCCTGCTGGATGACAACAATGGTACGGTAACACATCGCTTCAATGCAACACAACGATAACCATGTGCTACGAATGTCAGCGAACCGAGACAAGGCAACCCAACCAAATTCGCACACGCATTGGTTGTAAGGGTGATCGCTGCGGTCCTGTCGGCGGCGTGGGCGGTACGACTCAGGGAGCGCCGAAGCCCACGTCGTGAAACATGAATGCAAATACCACATGTTTTTTCTGCTGTCTCGCAACATGCATGACACGACGACAAGGACCGACGTGTCGAAGCAGTTCCCACGCTCTGTCAGAAATCCACCCTTTGGACGGCGACTTCGGTGGAGGCCCGAAGATCTGGCGTGCATGCTTCAGCAGAAACGTAATACATTCAGCAACGTGCTCATCGACAGAACAACCCTGACCGGGCAGGAATTCCCACACCGCACGCTCAAATTGGTCACGAAGATGTGTATTTTCCAAGGCACGGGCATCGAACGACACTCTGCTCTTCCCCCTCACACGACTCTTACCACCAGCGGTGCCTGCATTAGAAGTGAGATTCAGCGACGCACTCACAGCACGGTGGTCCTCCCAGCTGCTCTTAGACAGGTTAACACCGCACAACACGCGACACGCATGAACGCAAGTTTGCAAACCCTCATCAAGACAACCATAATCGATACGATGCACTGAACCACTGGAATGCCTCCACGTGTAGCCCGTGTCAAACCATGTGTCATTAGCATACAACATGTGGTCACCAAGGAAACACCTAAACAACATGCCGTTCTCATTCTCCCTCTCGGGGCTCACACGGCCCAACGTGTTCACACTGAATAGATCCCACCCGTGCGTTGGCATCAATCAGCACCATAACATGATGCCCTTTCTCAATGGCACCGCCGACATGGCACGCAAGCGAATCCCAGAACGAATGCTTCACTTCGCTAGGCGGCTCGTTGTGTAGAGCGTGGCGCGAAAAGACATGAACGACCCGTTTGCGGCCCCTCCACCGCCCAATCGTTTGCACGATGCGAGGGCCACGCGGCACGAACGACTCAACGACGTAGGAGCCATCACGTCGCACCCGCAGTTGCGACCCATAGTTCCCCTTCACATCAGCACTGGAAATGAACATATCATACGTAGCACCTGTGTACTGCTGGTCGCGCTGAACCCCTCCACCTCCTCCTCCTCCTCTTTCTCCTCCTCCCCCTCCCCCTCCTCCACCTCCCCCCCCTCCTCCTCCTCCTCCTCCTCCCCCTCCCCAACTCCTTCTCCTCCTCCTCCTCCTCCTCCTCGGATCGCCTACGGCCACGGGGGAAGCCGTGCAGGCGGGCTCCCCGCGGGGGCCGCCCGCGGAGGCCCCCCGCGGGCGCCCCTCGCGGCGGGCGCTCGCGGAGGTGGGCGCGCGGGCCCCGCCGCGCGGCCCGCGCCCCGCCGCGGGCGCGGGCGGGGCTGGGCCGCCCTGCCGGAGCTCCATAGGCCTCCCAGAGGGGGTCGGAGGATCGCGCCGCATCGCCGATGCGTCGACGATGCGGCTCGACGTGGAGCCCGATGTTCCCACGCCGACGTCGCCGATGCATCGCCGGCGTCGCTGATGCATCGGCGATGCATCGCCGATGCATCGGCGATGCATTGGCGATGCGGCGCGATCCTTCGACCCCATCTGCGCGGACCACACCTAGGAGGCCTCTAGGAGCGGATGGGGATGTCGGAGCCCAGACCCCCTCGGGCAACGACCAAAATCAGAACGGGATGTTTTTCGTTATTTTTTCTGTCTCCAGGGGCCCCAAAAACCACTCAGGATCAAGTGCACAAATCGACTCAGCATCGTGCAACAACGACTCAGGATCGTGCAACAAAAACGACTCAGGATGAAAAGCTGGTCCCAGAGAAGGGGTCCAGACCTTTCGGCCAAGGGAAGTAAAACCACTCGGACCGGACAATTGGCGTTTACTAAACGGCCTTGGGCGTTTACTAAACAGCCCTGCCCTGTTTGATTTCTTCTCTGGGTGCGTTTAATAAACGGCTTCGCGTGTCGGGGTATTATCGGGGTGGATTTTCTGCCTTCTTTTGGGGGTCGACCTAATGAACAAATCACGACGTCGGGGGTCTGGGAGGAGGTTACGTCCGTGCGGAATGTACGCCCTGAAAGCCTGGCGCAGCAGTTGCTACACACCGGGCGATCTTCCACGCCAGGCTTCGGGCACCCCCAGGGTTATGTTGTTCTAATCGTATTTCGGCTACATATAAGAGTGACCCTTGGCCAGAGTGACCTCCTAATGGGGTCGGACAGATTTTCTTGAGGAGTGCGCTCGGCCTCGTGTCGGCGCACGCTGCACCAGTCTGCGATTACATCAGAGCGCGCTAGTTTCAGGGTGCGCCCCTCGCAATCGATCGCAACGCATGCACGGTGTATTCTGCCGCGTGCTTCGTTTGGCGAGGGGGGGCCCAGTCGAGCGGGCGACGTGCTCTCCGCTTTGGGACCGGTCCCCAATCGTCTTGGAATAACTTTGACGAACTTTGACTAACTTTTTATAACTTTTCGCATTTCGCGCTGTACAACTCAATTCTTTACTATTGAAAGTTATTTGCGGCCGCGGGGGGCCAAGTTTCGGCCCGGTTTCGGCCTTGACGCCGGACCCGGTCAGACGTCATCGCGATGCGGCCCGGCAGTGCCAGAACATTCCGCGGTGGCGCCCGATTACGTTTGGCTTCGCAGAGCCCTCGGGCGGGTGTTCTGGGGCGCCCGGAAGGAATTGGCGGAGGTCCGCAATTGCCTGCTGGCGCTAGGGATCTGTCGAAGCGCGCCCCACCGATCGTTGATGCAATCCGACGGCCTCGGCTTGCGCGGTTGCGCCCGGCCCCACCAAAGGGCACTCTTGCCTAGGGTCACTCTTAAGTGTCGCCGAGTATTCCAGGACCACATCCCAAACATAATTTCGAGCACTCGAAAAAGGTATCGAAACAGTGTCGAACGAGTATGGCCTCCCAGGTCCCGACACGTGGAACCTGTACGTTTCGGTACTTTGCTGGTGCTCGAAATTCTTTCTGGTGGCCAAGGCTACAGTAGGTGAGAACATCATAACCCCAAGGCCCTCTCAGATCGATCGGGTTCGGACGGTGGCGCAGAAAGAGGGGGTCTGGGGCTCCAGTCGTGATCTGTTGTGTCGCGATGCGGCAGGAGTGGCAAAGTTCGATCTCAGGGAAGTCCTCGCAGAGCAAGTCCGTACGTAGTGGTTGGTCCCCGTCCAGGCTTACTCTCAGCGTCACCCCAGCATACTGACACTATGTGTGCGTCGCCCTCGCTGGGGCGACGCGCGCACCGAGACATTTTCTAGCATATGTGTCGTGGTGGGCGCGTTCTGGCCACACCGTTCGGGAAACGATATACTACAAGGTGGGTATACTATATGATCGGGTCGGACGCGCGCCTCCAAGGAGGACATGTAGTACGTGCGTCCCATACTCCGCCCGGACTTGGCCCCTGAAGGAGGAGGCGGTTAACGGCAACGGCACTGGCCCCGCCGCGGCCGCCGTGGGCCGAGGCTCGGGGGCAGCATTGGGGGGAGGGGGTACGCACCACCCACCAAACCACCCCAACCCAACCCGAAGGCCTCAATTTGCCTTCCATTTCCTGTAGGCGGGGGGGGGGGGCGGGGAACATTGAAAAAACGCATGGAACCCGTACCCCCCCCAACCCGAAATTCGGGTCAAATTCGGGTCTTCGGGTTGGGTTGGGGTGGTTTGGTAGGTAGTCAGGTACTGTGGGCTCAGGTCGGCGGCGAGCCCAGGTCGGGCGGGCGGCAATGGGGGGTGGCCCAAGCAAGGGGGTGAAGAACAAGGCCCCACAAGGCTCTTTAGGGTCCCTTTTTGGAGCCAGGAGGAGGAGGAGGAGGAGGAGGAGGAGGAGGAGGAGGAGGAGGAGGAGCAGGAGGAGGAGGAGGAGGAGGAGGAGGAGGAGGAGGAGGAGAGTAGGTGCCCAAAGGAGGCCTAAAGGGCCCCTTGAGGGCTTGTTTTCTTCACCCCCCGTTTGGGTCACCCCCCGTTGCCGCCCGCCTGACCAGGGGACCCGTCCGAGGGGACGGGCCTGCTCAAGGCGCGGACGGCCCACGGCCTTCTGTCGGGGAAGCGACGTAAGATTCGAGTAAGCCGGATCTCGGGCTCGCCGACGTTATTTGATGAGCGCGGCCCGGATTTTGACGGTCTGGTTTTCGTGGGATGTTTGCAGCGGGGGTTTGCGCGTCAACTTTCGGATGGATTCTCTTCGTTTTCGTGGATGACCCCGTCAGGCCAACCCGAGTCCCCCGAACCCGAGTCGTACGTCTCCCCGATTCTGAGAAGTGTTCCAAGCCTCCTCCCAAGACAGAGGCGGCTTCTCTCAGAAGGCTGGAGAGCTTCTGGGAAGCACCGCGCCGCCTTCCGAGGAGGGCCTGCCCCCTGCCGCTCCAGGCCTCCCAGGTAATTGGGGGTCGGAGTAGGACCCATGCCAAGGAAAACCTTGCTTGCCTCTGCCTTGGGTTTCTTGGGTTCCGATGGTTTTGTCATGGAAATCGTGACGTCCTGGGGTTCCAGGGTTGGTTTTCTTTTGGACGGTTTCTTGTGGTCGAGCCCCTACTGTAGACTTAGGTCGGGCATGTCCTCCTCTACAGGCAGATTCTGGACGAAAAATAAAGATAGCCAAACATTTTCAAACATAGTCAAAGCATAATCCAAACATCCTCCCCATACTATGTTGTGACTATACTTTAATGTTCCTCGTGTCGAGGGACAGGCCCGACGTAAGAGTAGACGGAGTCGGGGGACGGCGCCGCATGGCCGATGCATCAGCGATGTGGCACGATTTCGAGCTCGATGATCCGAACTGTTCTCCACGCCGACGGTGCCGACGTCGGCGATGCATCGGCGATGTGGCGCGATACTCTCAGGAGGGGACAAAAACACAGACACAATCAATCTTCGATTCCTCCCTGGAAAATATGGGCAAATATAGGAACATGGAGGGGAAGACGAAAATTTAGAAAATATGGAAACATATGTGGAATCCTGGGATTTGTGTGTATGTTATTTACTTGTGTGGTCCTGGGCCCCTTTTTATACTCACACGCCATCGACTCAGACTTCATCTGGGAAGCGTCTGGTCGCCCCTCCGTCGCCGATAGGGGGCATGGCTGGCCCAGCCCGCTCAGGAACGTGCGGTTTCGCCATCGGGGGCCTGCCCCCGCTCTGACGGCGATGTAGTATCGTCGAGTCGGGCATGTCCCTCTACAGGAGGAATATTCAAAAATAGTCATACAAAGAAGTCTGGGGATTTCGGAGTGTTTTTGTTCAACATGTTTTCATGTTTCGTCCAAGATCCGCCTGTAGGGGGACATGCCCGACCTAATAGTATCGTCGAGTCCATGTCGATGTGCCCCCCGCCCGCCGAGCCAGTCTCGAAGAGAACAGATCAGCACAAGCATTTGGAGCTCCGCGCGGAGTTCGTGGGTCGGCGCTGGACCCCCTCCGTGGCGCGCGGAGCGCGCCAGAGGCGGCGCCGGAGGCGCCGCCAGGGGGCTCCCGCGCCGATGCAAAGAAGATCCGCGTGGAGCTCCAACAGTTCTGGTTGATGCCGTTTTCTTTCCTCTGCAGTTCCCCCCCCCGTCTCGTTGCCCCTCACAGACGCGCTCGTCGGGCTCCTCGAGGAGCTGGAGAGCGGGGCGCTCTGGGACAGGCCGTTCGTCTCGAACACGGAGGGCGCCGCGCTGGTGCTGCGCTTCGGCGCGCTGGTCTGGGTGGCCGTGGTGTGCCGCTGGGTGCTGGACTTCCTCGCAGCCCGGGATCCAGACCTCACAAAGTTCGGAGAAGCAGCTGCGTAAGCATAAACGTTCTTGGAGATCCGCGAAAAGTTCTCGGATCGGCGCTGGGCCCCTCTGTCGGCGCCTCTGGCCCTGGCGCGCTCCAAGAAGTCTGTGCGGATTTCTCAAAAGTCTATGTTTACGCCATTCTCATTCCTCTACAGCTGTGGTCGGAGTAGGATGAGGCCGAGGACCCCGTCGCATCGGCGGTGCATCTGCGATGCAGCTCGATTTAGAGCCTGATTTCTCCACCCCGGCGTCGCGGGTGCACCGCCGACGGCGCCGACGCAACGCCGATGCTTTGGCGATGCATCATGCATCAGCGATGTGTCCGCGATGCGGCGCCCTCCTCCGATCCCACCTACTCGGACTCCATGTGGGGGGCCCCTGCAGGAGCAGGGGGGCTTGGCGCTGGAGCGTTTCCAGGGCACGTTGGCCCTCAAGGTGCTGGTGGTCGCCGCCGTCGGGGCCTCCCTCGCCTGGGCGGTGGGCGCCGCCGGCGGCAGCGTCGGCGGTGAGGACCAGGGCGCCTCCAGGGAGGACGGCTGGGAGGACTTCTGGACTGGTGATTATTGGAACGAGCCGGTCCAGATGGACACGCAGACGGTTTTTTTGGGGGTGGTGGGCGGCTGCGTGGCACTCCTGGCGACCAGCGCATTCTTAACCAGGGGCGTGCAGCTGATAAACGACGCGAGCATGCAGCGGTTGCCCGAGCTTGCACTCAGCTAAGGGAGCCTCCAGGAAAAGAGCGCTCTTTGTCCTGGTCGTCGTCGCCGCTGTCGCCCTCTCACACTGTGAACGGTTTGCTAAACCAGAGATGCAGCGGGCTTCGCGGGATGCACGTCCGGAGCACATAAAGGCTGGGCGTTGGGTGTATTGCCCTGCTCGTCTGCCGCGAAGTTATGCCATGTCGTTCTGCCCACCCCGGTGCGCTGCCAGCGCCACGAGGGGCGGATGAGCCCCTCCCCGTTTCAGCGCCGGGACGAGCGTGCGAATGTCCACGAGGGCAATCGACATGCACCGCGTGTCAGCACAAGGCAACGCCAAGTTCAAATTCCGATGAGCATAGCAACAGCGCGCCATTCGTATACAACTCCGCGGGTGTCTTGGTTGTTTCGTGGGGCCGCTGGGGGCTTCATGGGGGCCTCTTGGAGGCTTTTGGGAGGGTTGTTGGGGGCCTTTTGTGACCTCTTGAGGAGGAGGAGGAGGAGGAGGAGGAGGAGGAGGAAGAGGAGGAGGAGGAGGAGGACGAGGAGGAGGAGGAGGAGGAGGAGGAGGAGGAGGTGGGGGCCTCGTGGGCCGTCTTGGAGCGCTCTTGCGCCGTCTGCCCCCCCCTCGGAGGCCGTCTCGGGGGCTCCTCGGGGCCGCCTTTGCTGCTCTCTTGGGGTCCTCGTGGGCCGTCTTGGTGTCATCTTGAGCCGTCATGGGTGCCTTCTGGGCCTCTCTGATGGGGTCGGAGTAGATGGGGTCGGAGGATATCGCCGCATCGGTGATGCATCGCAGATGCATTGCCAATGCGGCTCGATGTGGAGCCCGATTTTCTCCACGCAGACGGCGCCGATGCATCGCCGACATCGCCGATGCATCGGCGATGTATCGCCGATGTATCGCCGATGCGGCGCGATCCTCCGATCCTATCTATTCGGACCCACACGCACACACGCACACACGCCCACACGCCCACGCGCCCACGCGCCCATTCGCCCAGAGGGCCCACGTCCCCACGCGCCCACGCGCCCACGCGCCCACGCGCCCACGCGCACACGCGCACACGCGCACACACACACACACACGCGCGCACACGCGCGCACACGCACACGCGCAGACGCGCACACGCACACGCACACGCACACGTACATACACAACACACACACACACACCCACACACCCATGCGCACACCGCGCACACACATACACACGCGCGCGCAGAGGCACAGGCACACACAGACAGAGACAGAGATACCGACAGAGACACAGACATACCGACAGATCCACAGACACAGACAGACACAGACACAGTCACAGACACAGTCACAGGCACAGGCACAGGCGTAAACACACAGGCACAGGCACAGGCACAGACACAAAGACAGACATAGGCACAGACGCAGGGGCACAGACACACGCATACACACACGCGTGCGCCGTACTTGCCTTGAGAATAGTCACATAATGTGGGCCCCTGTGGTTCTGCCCTTTGGTTCTCGGGCCTAAGTGCTCCAGGCGCCCACGTGGAGCCACCGGCGACCACGCTCGGAGAGTAGTCCGTTTGCCTCACGGGGTCGGCTGACCGCTTCTCGCTGGGCCCTCCCCCCCCATGGGTCCGCCGCCAGAGCAGTTCCATGTCCTCAGCTCCGGAGTCGTGCTGCGGGATCGCGAGCAGTGGCGGATGTGGACATCTGCCCCGATGCCGATGCCCATGCCCATCACTTCTCGAGTCCCCAGGACACGCCCCCACGGCAGTGGATGTGAACATCCTGGCGGCGCACACGGAGAGGCTGATCTCATCGCATCGCCCCTTTGCCCCTCGCCGTGCCGTGCCCCCCTGGCAGGCGAAGCCGGGACATTCGGACGGTGGCCCCGCCGGGCAAGAAGCGCCCCGCCGCGCTAGCCCCGCTGTCCGGGCGACGCTGGGAGGAGGATTAGGATGGAGAGGAGGGGGGGCTCAAGGATACAAGGATGGGCCAGTTACCACCACCACTACCATAGATAGGACGGGGGAGAAAAGAGAATGGGGAGGTCCGCCTCCTCCTCCTCCTCC